AACACTATTCTTTGTGAGACCGCCGATGCCTTGGATCATGTACACCGTTGCAGTTATGCCCGCAATGATCTGAAATCGAACAATGTTGTTGTAGAAAAATGCGAAGATGAGCTGCTTCACCCAGTAATAATCGATTTTGGTGAAAGTGTTTTGTTAATTAAAGCAAAGGATCCTATGGCAAAACCAATGCATATAAGGGACCAGTACAAGAACAATTACAGTGCGCCAGAACTTGTTGATGGTACTGGAAAACCATCCACTAAAAGTGATATCTATGTGCTGTCTTTCCTGATCAAATCTGTGTATAGACTTTTACATTTTCGAAACGTTGTTGCTGTGAAGAAGGCTTTAGTAACATCGCCTGAAGAAAGACTGACAATCAAAGAATTAAAATCAGCTTTAAGTGCTGACTATTAGAGAGGTGCAAACTTTTTGCCAATTTATAGCAATGAGGCAGTAACATTTCGTTTCATTTCGATTTGATTTCAAAATCGCTTTTGTTTTATGCTTCCAGGATAAAGGAAAGTGTTGTCAGTGTATTTTTTCAGGTTCCTTTTTATAGTCCAGCTAACTGTTGCAATCAAAAGTGATAGCTAGCGTGCACAATAGATGCACATTGTATTGTGTCATCTCATCTTAGCTTTAGCTTCTAGTATTTCATGCTGTGGAAAGGCTAATGATACTTGGTAAATGAAATAATTTGAATAAATTGTTTTGGACATGGTCACAACGTAATTATTTAATTTCCAGTTTAGCCTGTAAAATTAGTAAGCGTAAGTTGCAATATTGTTCGCGCTCTCGGTTCTGCATGTTATGTTCATGCTAGTCTCCGTCTTCACGCAAAAAAACACCAGCCAAATTATTTTTATCCCCGATTTATTGTAACCATCACTCAGCACTGTCATCTTTTACAGTACATGACTAATAAGAAAATCACCTCATCTGATGTTCATGAAGCTACAAGGCATCAAACCATGGCATAGAGTTACTTATGCAAATTAGCT